CCGCAGCCGAGCTCTCCTTCGCCAGCTTCCCGCCCCCACGGCTCCGCTTGACACTCTTGTAGAACTGTCCCCAGCGATGCCGCCCCGCGTCCTTCTTCAGCCTCTTCTCCTTGGCCCGGCGGTTCTGGAACCACACCTGGGGCAGGGAATGGGGACATTGGTGGCACCACAGCTCCCTGGCACCCCTGCATGCCAGCACCCCTGCAACCCAGCACACCAGCACCCATATAACCCAGTCGGCCAGCATGCCAGCACCCTGGTACCCCTATGTCCCAGCATGTCAGCATTGCTGTACCTCTGCACCCGCAGCACCCCTGCAACCCCACGTGCCAGCACCCATGCAACCCAGTCCCCCTGCAACCCATCATACCAACACCTATACAGCCCATCTCCCACACACTCATGTAAACCAGCACCCTGTAACCCAGCACTCAGGCACTCCTGCATCCTGGCACACCAGTACCCCTGCCAACACCCCTGCAACCCAGCATGGCAGCAGCACCCGTGAAACCCAAATCCTACACACCCCTGCAACCCAGCACCCCGCAACCCTGCACATCAGCACCCCTGCACCTCAGCAACCCAGCATGCTAGCACCCTGAACCCCAGCAGGCCAGCACACTGGCACACCAGCACCCTGGCACACCAGCACCCCTGGAACCCAGCTCCCAGGCACCAATGCCACCCCAATACCTCTGACACCCCTGCATCCTCTGCAACCCCGCACCCTGGCATCCATTCACTCCTGAAACCTAGTACCCCTGCAGCCTGGCACCCCAGTCGGACTCCTGCATCCACCTTCACTAGGGGCAGGGTGGAGAGGGGCATCCCTGTGGTCTCACCTGCACCACCCTCATGTCAAGTCCCGTCTCAGATGAAAGCTGTTCCCGTACATGCCGTGCAGGCTTGGGGGAGTTTTTGTAGGCGTTCTTCAGTGTCTCTAGCTGCTTGGCCGTGATGGTGGTCCGGGGCCGCTTAGCACCCGCCTCAGAGTCATCTACAAGTGAAGGAGCCGGTGCCAGCCCCAACCGCAGCAGCATGAGCAACCCTGAACCGCCGGCATGCACCTCTGGGGAAAAGCTCCCCCAAAACCATCTGCCCAGAGCCCAGAGGTACAACGCCAGGGACATGAGCCATGGCCACCCCTCGATGTGATGTCCCACCTTGTAACCCCTTCGGGGTGCCTACCATTCTGCTTGGCAGTCTCATAGTCCTCCTTGCAGACCAGCCGCCCATCCTCCATCAGGTAGAACTCATCGCCGGTGGCCAGCTGCCGGCTGCAGATGATGCAGGCGAAGCAGTGGAGGTGGTAGACAAAGTCCTGGGCTTTGCGGACCACCTGGGTGGGAGGGATGCCCTGCTGGCAGGCCGTGCATTTGGTCCCGAAGCGCCTGCGAGGAGAAGCAGACACCCCTGAGGCCCTCGGCAAGGTGAGCTTTGCTGGAGATGGGGTGGGTCCCAGGAGGCAGGGCAGAGTTTTAACCAGCAAACAACCTTATTATGCATGACATTTCACACGGTAGGGGTTTATCTTCTTCAATGTGAAAGACCGGCCTAATGGAGCTGAGGAAGGTTTGATTTTAATGGTTCTTTTAACTAATGCTTATAGGCTGCCTGATTTTCCCCTGCAAGGACAGTACATATTTCATCCACATTAATACCAAATAAATTAATTACACCTCCCCGCTAGCATGGTGAATCCCAGATTAATGCAGAATGATGGGGTTCTTATACCATAATGACAGCCCGATGGGTGCAGTGGGTGTGCTGGCTTGGAGCAGGCATGAGGCCAAGAAAGCCCTCCATCACGGCTGCAGGGAGCATGCAGGAAGTGTGCAAGGACCAAATGGGTGATCACATATTGGAACAGGCTGCCCAGGGAAGTGACAGAGTCACTGTCCCTGGAAGTGTTCAAAAACCATGTAGATGAGACCCAGTGACATGGTTTAGTGGTGGACTTGGCAGTCCTGGGGTAAAAGTTGGACTTAATGACCTTAAAGGACTTCTTCAACCCAGCTGATTCTATGAGGAGTATGTGAGAAGTGCAGAAACAGCATGCAAGGAGCATGAGGAATGGGACAAGAAGCATGGAAGGGAGCATGCAAGAATTGTGGAAGGAGAATGGAAGGAGCATAAAAGGAGCGTGCAAGGAGTGTGCATCCCACCCAGGAGCCCTGTGGATCACAGGTGCTCTGCTGCAGAGCCTCTGGGGTGCCCATTGCTTGGGGTACACTCATGATGTGACAGGTGCAGTTGCCCTGTGCAGACAGGAAGGCTAACACTCAGACAACACCCGGATAACATGCGGTGCAAACTGAATTAAAGGAGCAAGGGCAACATGTGGCACGAGGTGGTGGCAGCACAGGAAGAGGTCAAAAGCAAGTGGACATACCACGGGTGTTTTCAGCAACAGATACTGTGGGCTTTGGGATTGACATGGGGCAGATGCTCACGTCCCACCAGCAACACAGGCGCTCTGCTGGCTCTTCCATGCTCTCCCCAGCACCTCATAACACCCCATCAGCAGGGCACTGGGACTACACAACCATCCTGGATGTTGCAACAGCAGACCAGGCAGCAAAGCTACCAGAATAATCTGTCCCCTGTGCCTCAGACAGATCCATCTGCCTCCAAGGAGGCTGCCCAGGAAAATCCAAGCCCCTTGGCCCTCAGCCCCAAGGCTGCAGAGACGGGCAGTGGCATTGGGAGTGCACAGGGGGTACAGCCACCCTGGGCACCTCCTGCTGCCCCCTGAGGGTTGAACATCCCCGAGTCACACAAGCCCCACAGCCATCCCTGCCCTCACACCACCTGGAAAGCCAGGGCATAGCCACCAAAGCTGGGTCCCCTAGTCACAAAGGGGTCACCTGGGGTGAGTGATGGGCACTGGGCATGAGTGGTGCTGGTGCAATTTCAGCAGCTGCCCAAAGAGGTGCTGGAAGCAGAAGGCAAGAAGGCAAATATGTTTTGTCTCATTTTCTAGGCTTGTATCCTAATGGGAGAGTCCCTGGAAATCTGCTGGGGAGACTTCAGCTCTCCAGGAGCTTGGAGGAAGGTATGGAAGGAGGGAGGAAGGGAATTGGGGGATGTAGGGATGGACAGAGGGAAGGATAGGACAGACAAACAGAAGATGTTTTTCCATGCCCAAGGCTGAGCCAGTGCAGGCTCTGCAGCCCCTATCTTCCCTCCACCCGATCACCATCCTTCAGAACACTATTAAAGCCATTTTACCCTCCCTCAAAGCATCCTGGGGTGTTTCTGCACCACTTGGGGACAGCCAGACCCAGGACAGAGCTGCCCACAGCCAGGGACCAAGGGCTGCAATAGGGGAGAGGTTAGAAAAGATAAAAATTAAAAAATCTGGTATTTTCAGGAGTGCTCCTGCATTGCAAACCTGCCCCTGAAGCTGGTCTTAAATCCTCATGTTCTCTGCAGGTTACCTGCCTCAAAATCAATGAGCAGTTGAAAGAAAGGTGAGGCAAGTGCTCGAGAGAGTGCCGAGATGCTATTGATTGGCACCAAATAATCCAGGCAGGACCTCATCTAAGAAAGTCGCTGATCTTTCAACTCTAATTAATATTGATTACCCACACCTTTTGGGCAACTATTTAAATGACTTGGAGATTAATAGGCTGGAAAATATGAGAAGTGAAGTGTTGTTAGCTAGGCTGTAGTGGACGCTTTGATTGTTGCACATTCACCAGCTGGGAAGGAGAAACTCAAGCTGCATCTTTGGCCCTGATGGCTGGAGGGGCTGGGGTCGCACAGGAGGCCTGAGAGCCTGGAGATGGGCAGGCAGGGAGAGTCCAGAGCAGGCATGCGCTGGCCAGGATCCGGCCCTCCTCCCTGCAGGAAGTGTGAGCAGCACCCCTCTGCTTCACAACCATGCACCGCCGGCAGAGCTGTGCCCAGCCCCAGTGCAACACTCCCACCATCCCTTAGGAAAACTCCCACATTTCGCCAGCAGCCTGGGACTAAAGCATCCCCGCTGAAAAGTCCGTTTTTAACAGGAAACAGGTTGTCCTATCCTGCGGGATCAGGGAAACGCTGAGGCTGAGGCATCACACAGCTCGGAGGCAGCTGACAACAAAATCGAATGAGGTTTTCACACCACTGGGAGAAAAAAAGGAATAATAATAATTAAAAAAAAAAAAAAAAGTAAAAAGCTGAAGTGTAAAAACGGCATCAGCAGACCCGGGAGAAGAGCGAGGCTCGGGCAGGAGCAGGCAGCGCTGCCGCTGCCTTGCACGGGTTTCTCCTGCCCTCTAGCTCTGAGCAGAGCCAGGACCACTGCCAAACCACCGCAGCTTGCCATCCCATGGTGGCTGAAATCAGCACTGGGGAGGGACAGGAGCATAACGGAGATTTGGGGCTCTCAGAAGGTTATACCCATGAACAGCACAGAGCCTGCGGTAGCTGAAAACCACCAGCACTTCCCTTATTTCCATAGCAAACAAACAAAAGTTAAACGAAGATTTTGGAGAAATTACACTTAAAATAGGTTGTGTGTTTGTCAGCTTCGCGGGTGGGGAGATGGCACTTTTAGGGGCTGTGCCGAGTGGTACTCACTTGAAGAAGTCCTCCTTGCAATAGACGCTGCCGGCCCGGGAGAAGCAGCCGTCGGCGATCTGCATCTGGCAGTCGGCACACTTGAGGCAGGAGCTGTGCCAGTGCCGGTCCAGGACCTTGAGGATGAACTTGTCCAGGATGTGCTGGTTGCAGCCGGCGCACTGGGGGATCTCTGGGCCGGGAGGAGAGAGAAGCACAGAAGAGCAGTGTGAGCTTCGGCAGTCGCCTCATCCCGGCGGTGCTCCCACCCGGCTGATACAGCTGGCAAAGCTCCTTGCTGGCACTTCGCGAGTGATAAGCTGCCACCTGTGACCTTGCCGTTCTCCTGGCACATCTTCCTTTGCAAACCTTCACCGAAACCCTCCAGGATAGCTAAGTCCAGAGCCCCACCGGCTCCTCCAGGCACAGTACACACTGACGCTTTCCCCTCCTGCATCAGGCCATGTCATGCTCCCTGCCACACGTTTCCCTGCCTGCCTCTTGCTCCCTCTGGGATGGATTCCTGCAACCCACAACCAGGGGTATGGCTTGCTGTTCCCTGCGGCTCCTCCATCCCCCAAGAGCCAGGCTGCTGGGGAGACCCAGGGGTTCACCTACAGGGTCCCAGGGGTGCAGGACAC